TGTCCCAAGCGGACCATCCGCTGTAAAAATGAGCCGAAAAAATCGGCGCTTGCACACAGAAAGCTGAAACTTCCACCGATTGTGCACGGAGCAGGTCAGTTTTACCGAGTGAAGTTTCAAGGCTCGGTTCTCTTTCTGTAAAAATTAGGGCAAAAACTTTCCAAAGTCAAGGTTGGGTCGCGTTCGCAGACGACCGAGTGAGCGGCTCTATTTACTTGTGGCGCCAATTCCCGATAGGCGCAGCGAGCAGACAACGGAGCGCGTCGTCTGCTCGCTGCGCAAGCCCTCCTGCGCTCAAGCTTTGAACAAACTGTGGTGCCCTATTATTTTGTGTAGTACAAGCTCACCTGATTTGGCTTCACACTACTGATGGCACATTGTCTCAGTGTTTTTTTCTTTCTGTGTGGAACTGAAGAACGAAGAAACACCTCTGAACCTCCGAAATCGCCTAAATTCAGCAACGCAAGACAATCAGAAGTGCCAGATTCATGCTACCATCGCTAGGGTACGCGTCTCTGTATGAGGGGGGGGCATCAGCAGATCTGGCCGTCCCGGCGCTTTTATTATTTTTCTTCTTTTTGGAACCCGTGAAACGGCGTCTCCTCGTTCTTCGGGTCTTAGCTTTTGCCTGTGCTTCGACGGCGTTCAAATATTTCTTGCTTCTTTGTATTCTCCTCGTGATCTCGCGTTCCCCACATGAGCAGGCACGCTCTCTCATTTGTGACAGTTTGGGACGGTCAAATATCTAAGAAGACCTAACAAGTCAATTTTTGCAGCAACCTCTGGGAAACGGAGGAAAGTTATCCGGAGATGGCGCCACAAGTTGAGAACTCGGGTCGGCTGCGAACGCTCCCCCATTTACTCTTGCCAGTTTTGTACCATAACTTTTTACAGGAAGAGAACAACGCCTTGAAATTTCACACGGTAAAACTAACTTGCTCAGTACAGATTCGGAGAAAGATTGAGCATTCTATGTGCAGGCGCCCATTTTTCGGCTCGTTTTTCAGAGTAAGGTCTGCTTGGGTGTTGTTCTTGCCGAAAAAAATATACTCGATGGTGCGAAATGTAGGCTCTAGAAGACATACGTACTCAGCAGTAGTGCCACCACAATGACTGTTGATGTGATTTCAGTGAAAGTTGTCTATCCTGAAGTCAAGCACGAAGCCTTACAAGCCACCAAAAAGACGACATCTTCGTCTTCATGTTTGTGACGTAATCGCATGAGCAGTAGACAGTCGCATGACGTAGCCAATGGCTCACGTTCCCGAGGCCTTGTGTCCAGATAAACAAACGAACAAAAAAATAGTGAAATAGACGAAGTCCTTGGCGCGGCTGTGCTGGACCCTCCAAGGAGTATACGTGACATCTATTTGACGATCGCGATGAGTAATAAAGATAAGAGAAGTGAAGAAAGAACGCGCATTGATGAAGATTTGTAAATATATGGCTTGCATTGACGTCACATCAGCTGCCATTGTGGTGTCCTTGCTGGTGAGCCCGTACTTTTTGCAGCAAACACTTCAACCCACCGATTTTGTTTTCCTCAGAAAGAACGACTAGGGATGACCTCTGGCATGATATGGTGACAACGCGTGTAAGCAACGTAGGTGGAGGTGCGTCGCCATGGAACATGCATGGTAGTCGGCTGTGACGTGGCCTCGCTCACATGACCGCTCAACCGCTTGGTATGGCAGATTTCCAGTTTAGCATGAAATAATTTTAATTACATTCTGGCATAACGACGTAAAAAATCGCGCTGACTTAAAACGTCCATCAAATGCAATGAAAGTACGATAGCACTAAATACCCACGTTCCTACGCAAAGGGGGGGGGGGGGGGGGGGGGGGGGCGTGAGCGCTCTGTTTACTCCCTCTCTCCTCCCCAAGGCGTGATGTCATTGGTCACGCACACTAATGACGTCAAACTAACAGCCGAACCCCGTGGCTGCCACTCTTTCCGGTGGCCTTGTCATCAACAATGTCTCTTGGCCGCTTGAAATGGATGCGTTCAAAAAGGGCATCCTTTCTGTTATCAGTGATAAACTGGAAAACGAACTGTCGTCTTGTGTGGGCCTCTTGATTTACGTTCAAAGTCGAGAACAAAGTTAGCTTCGTATTGGCGTCTGCAAGCAGTCACGCTTGAAGAACTAGTTTGGCCCCCTTGATGGGGAGCACCATGTCAGGACACCGACCTGATAACCCTGGACCACGGCTTGGCAAGGCTCGACTATCAGATGATCTACACGCGCGCCAGCGGCAAGATGGTGGTGCCCGGAGGCCCTACTTGCAGACGTCCTATAAAATTACTCTCTCAAACTCTTTTTCTTTTTTTTTTTTCTTTTTTTAGGTTTAGTTTGGTTTAATGTCGAATAACGAGTATAAGAGCGATCTAGAAGGCTAACACGTCTTGGGAAAAAAAAGGCTGTAAAGTTTACAAGCGTCATCTTTGTTGGTGTCAACTTTGTAGTACTTAAAAGCGGTTTCATGTTTACCGAGAAAAGCTTGGTATGCCTCGCATTCGGTTCGCCAGATTTGCTCATGGCGCCGCCGTTTTGTTGTTTTAAGGGGTATTCGGTCATGGCTCTCAGTATTTTGCTTTTCAGCGTGTGCTGACTTCGAAATCTCTGTGCAGAGCTTTTGCAACGTACATTCCCGTCACCATCAACGTTGCCCGATATCTTGGGAAGCTGTAAGTGTGTGCTCGTTCTGAGCATGCCCGGTGAACATGTGCACTTGAGTATGGCGTCCAGTGAATACTCCCTATACGGCGTGCAGGTCGTCTGCTTCTTGCACAGGGGTTCCGATGATGCCAGAGAACGCCATACGCTTATTGGCTGGTTGAAAAAATGTAGTGGGTCGACCCCAAGTCATCTAGCATTGCGGTCTACCCACTATCCTTCCAGTTAAAGAAAATCAAAATGGCGTCTTTCTGACGTCACTGCAACCCGATCTCAACCAATGAAGGGGCAAAATTGGCTGCCTCAGTCATCGCTCGGTTCCTAGCGCGTTCTTTCTGCTGCCCTTTGGTTGGTGTGCCCCCCCTTTGCGCGTCGCTATCCCCCGAAGCGTAAGCTTTAGCCCAACCCCCCCCCCCCCCCCCCCCCCCCTTCCCGCAAGCTCTTTCTTTTCGTTTGTGTATGCGCGTGTTGATCGAACGCACCGTAACTGCGGTCAGTCTCTATTCATAGAATCCCCCGCGCGTCGTTTTATTAGTCAGGAAGGGTCAATCATTCCATGACGGGTCATTGACCTTACAGCTAAAGTGCACCGGCGGTCATTAGAGCCCCGCTATATAAGCTACCTCCAGAGTATCGACAGGCCGGTTATCTTGTAGCCGCCGCCATTTTGGTCCTTGGTGCATACAGAACGCGGGCGTAATCGAAATGTCACTTCCGGAGCTTTGGAGACACGGTGTCAGAGAAAGCACGGGCGACATCGTTTTTGCTCTGTCGTGGACTGTTTTAACATTTCTGAAGGACGGTAAAAACGTTATCCGCGACTTTGGACGAAGCTTTTGATAACTGGCGACTGGAATTTGAGCACCAAGACGGCTGAAGCGATGTATCGTATACCTTAGCTGTTTTGGTCTTGCAAGCCACCCGTGGTAACATTGCTTTGCAGATGAAGATTATTATTATTATTATTATTATTATTTAATTAGTGTTGCGTTCAGCTGCGTTCGTTTGTGCTGTGCGCTCCCTGAGCATGCGCTGACGACAGTTCTGCAACGTGCATTCAACAGATTCGAGATTGTCCTTCTTGTCAGATGATGACTGAAAACCTTGTAAACTAAAATTTTATATAAAAAAAAAAAACAGCACGCTTCTCTCATCTTGTAATAATTTCCACTAAAATTTCCAACAAAAAGAGTAATTTCTTGTTGGTTTTTACGCAAAAACATGCTTTCTAAACGCTCGTGGTGACCACAGCAAAACAAAAAAGATTGAGCCTCCATTTTGGCGCCTCGAGCCTGGGAGTTTCGGTACTCTGGGAACATTCAGCCGCGACTCTAGTGTGCGCAAGCCCGCATGGCCACAAGTGACAACTACCTTGCTTCGAGGGTAGTTAATTCCAGTCAGAACTACTAGTACGCAAAAAGTAATTAATTGCAGCGGATCATTACTATCAGAAAGTGACGCTCTGTTAACAATTTCCTTCGACAGCTATTCGACTCCAATCATGTTGATGTGTTGCCATTTTATCTTTCGCGCTGTGACGGAATTGTTTAAAGGAATAATTATACGGCGTTTTACATTCGTCATATTCCGTATCTGTGACAAGTGAAAACGCTTCAATCATCACCATCAATATATTTGTTTTTCTTTACAATAACTACTTTTACCCAGGAGTATATAAAGACACAAAACATTAGCGTTATGACAGCACGTGCACGCGCGCGCGCGGGCGAGCCGTTATGTTGGCGGACACTAGACCACTACCACACCGCCACCGCCGATATTTGCTCAATGATCATTGCGAAAGAAAGCCTAAACACACGCTCCTCGCCCGACACCCGTCCCCCCCCCCCCTCCCTACAACACGCACGCGTATCCGGTGACGAACGACACAGTTCATGCGGGAATAAAGAAGCGGGGGAGGTGGAAGTAGAAATCGATCTATTCGCAAACCCACAAACACAACAACCACGTGACGTGTGTGTGTCCCCCCCCCCCTCCCCCTTTCCCCTCTCCAAACCCTTCACCAGCCTTCAAGCAAGTCCACGCCAAGTCCGGCAGGAACAAGTCGCCGCCGTCGCCGCACTGTCTACCAAAACCAAGTCTCAAGGCGCGCGCAACGTCAAAGGAATAATAATAATAAAAAAAAAAAAAAAAAAGAGGAAGGAAAGAAGCAGTCTGGAAAGGGAGCGACGACTAAAAACGCAAGCACGCCGGCGACGAGCAAAAAGAAGCGCAACAGCAAAAGCGAGTTTCTCCCCCAACCCTCCGTCCGTCACGTGATTCCATTTCGCCTTGACTCTCGAGGCAGGCGGCAAGCGCGAGTGAGAGCGAGGGATAGATAGGTTCCAGTACGTCACGCGGAGTAGCGGTGCTAGTGTAAGCGGCTGGCTGGCGAGGCAGTGCCGGCAGGCAGCAACTACAAAGAGCAGAGCGACGACGACGGCACAACTAGCTCAAATCGGTTGGATCCGCCCTGCCACGGACGAAGACCTGCGAGGACTCTCCCGGCAAACTGAAACACCAGTTCCCGCTGCCGGTGGGACTCGACCAGGCTGGTAGTTGTGCATCTTGGGCTTCTTCTTGAAGTGGATCCGCCGAATGTCTTCGAAGATGTCCTCGGTGTGTAGTACCAGGACGTGAATGATGTCTTGAACGTATTCCAGGACCGTCATGAATCTGCGGGACACTGGTGCTGTCGCTTGCCGTGGTACGGTTGTTGTTGTCGTGTTCTCTGAGATCTTCTTTGCAAGCACCTAAAACGTTTTAGATTTTTTTTTTTTTTTTTTTTTTTTGTGCCATTTGAAGATTGGTTTGGAGATTTGGACAGCCCGTGTATCGTGGTGTTGTCTGTTGGAAGCTGTCCACTGCTGCTACCGCTACTTCAGCATCCGTTGGAGGTGGTCTTGCGCCGCTGGAGCTGCTGGTTTATCCCCTGGTAGGTTTGACCTTCTTACTACGAGATATTTTCTCCTTGACCACCGGTGTATAACTCCTTGTCGGACAAACAGCGCTCCAAGTTCAAACAACTCAAAAGATGACCACGAGCGTCGAGACTGAATTCTTTCACCGAGGATTCAACCGACTCTAATATAAATTTTTGTTTTACGAATATATATATATATAAAATACTACAGAACGCAGTCGCTCCATACCGCTGTAGTGCCTCCCTGGGAGTATCTCGTCTATTATGTCTTCAGCTGTATACGTGGGGAAGCTGCTTGGTTTATGGAGGTGCTAGTGTTTCATCATGAGGCAAACATACTGCAACCTATTATTAGAACGTCATCGGTTGCTGCATTTATGTCATAATAAAAAATCTGGCCAAAGATTTTTTTAATTTTTTTTTAGCTTGTCGATTGACCTTGGGGCGAGGTCTTCCGTATATTTGTTGTGCAATGTTCGCTATAGATACTGCAGATGTTTCAATTTTTCTTCATATATTCTTTTCGTATGTGAGGTTATTGCCTTCCTTTTCGAAAGCTTTTTTTTTTTAGATTTGTTATATATATATATATTTCCTTGGCTGCGTCGTCGGGGATGGTGAAATTCCCGGCTTTCCACGACGATTCGCAAATTAGACGCCGGCAGAGTTTGTTCAACTTTCCTCGTCTCCTGTGGCTGGAGTGCGTTCGGTTTTACGACAGCAGCCTCCGTGCTCTGCAACGAGTGATCGAAATTAAGATTAGCGTTTACATCGCCGTGGCAGCGTTTGCAAGATGTATCACTCTTTTTTTTTTCCCCTTTTTTTCTTGCCATTCTTTGGAGAACTTACCGTTCACAGCATGTTCGTCGGATATGTATTCCCCATCGGAGAGTGAAAGCCGTTGCTAAGGGCCGGTAACGAACAAGGAACAGACACAGTTCGCAGACAGACACGTCGCAAACACCTTGTTGTCTCACGACTCTTGATTGCGGCAATCGTAACTCATACTGAAAACTATTTACGAAATGCGAACAGGACAACGACGAAACAAAAGGTACACATAACGACGAGGACTGGCTCGAGCGCATTTTTTTGTCCTTGTTCACAACTTTCACAATAGTTTTTCACCTTGTTATCTGTCGCGCTGCAGGACCCACGGGTCCTGGGTTCAATCACCACCCCCGCCCGTTTCGATCTGGATGAGCATCGTACGGCCATGCACCCGTTTAATTACTACTGCGTGATGCACGTTAAAGACCCCAGACTACCCTGGGGTCTTTAACGTGCATCACGCAGTAGTAATTAAACGGACACATGCCCGTACGATGCTCATCCAGAAGGGTATCGTTACCGGGAGCGTCGGAACCATCTACTAAATCTCTCTCATTGTGTTGCTTGCGGAAAGCGCACTGCTCTTGTCCAGGAGCACTGCTTACTGGACAGGCAAAATTTATCTTCTACAGCGGACACTCCGCAGACGGCCATCGGGGCTCCATGGTTAACTTCCCGCGCTTTCCGCAAGCAACAAAGAGAGAAATTGGGGGGTTTTAGTAGACCGTTTTCAAAGGCCCGCTACCGCTACGAGCGCGCGCTTCAGAGCATGCATCGAAGTGGCAGCGCGAGCTCCCGCTACGATTATCGTGGCCTGAAAACACGATCTACTAAAACTCTAGTAGATGGTTCCGATGCCCCCGGTAACGATACCCGATAACGATACGATACATGCGTAAAGGCGGCGGTGGAGTATCGTTCTTGGAGTCGTCGGTACGATCTACTAAAACTCTTCATTATTACACGAAAATCGTTGTTATCAAATTTGTTTCGCAAGCGCGAGGAGGGGGATGTTGTAGCTCAACAAGATGCTTTCTTGGCACGAGTATCTCGGAGCACGGAAAACCGACACCGCAGCCACGTGTTCGCGCCCGTGGCTTGCACGTCGCGCTCAACGTTGACGTCCGGCTTGCGCCATGTAGCCAGCGTTTTGAATACCCTAAAATAGACCCCTTTCAGGTAACCGCCCTCCGTTGGGGGACATGGAAATATCCCGTATGTGATGGCAGACACCCAAAACTGCATCCCTACAGATGCTGAAAATTTCGTTATCGTCATTATAATTATACTCGGCTCGTCGCGGAGCTGAAAGTGCGGTGGAAGCTATCGTGCTCGTTGAACCAATCGGGTGCTCCTATTTCGTCACGTGATGGCGCTCCCGCCCATTGTGCAGACAGCAGGGTCAGGTGGCGCATCGGAGGCGGTTAATTAATCTTGGCGAGCGCGTGGCTACTTTTTTTTTGTCTGTTATTTGATGTTTCGGAGCCCTAATCTACACGGCGGGACCAGGGGGGGGGGGGGGGGGGGGGGGGGGGAACATAGCCGCTTGCTGCGATTGGTCAGTTCCGCACCGCTGGCCAATCGCAGCAGGCGGCGATGTCCCGATCCTCCCGTCCCGCCGTGTAGATTAGGGCCCTTGTTGGTGTTGGCACTACCAGTGTTGCGCGGTGTAGCGGTGTACATGTTGGCTTAACGTCGCCGACAGCTAAGATACGATGGGCGTGGCCTTACGATTCGTTCTTGCGTTTGTCTGGAAAAATCATTCGCGCTTGTTATTTAGATGGGGTGTTCATCAACGCGACGCGCTCGAGCTTCCAAATTACTCGCGTCATTAGTATAAAAGAATAGACAGACATTTTTTTCCCGTGCCCTAATTTCGATCTAGATTAATTGACCTTGGCAGTGTACACGTATACAGTCCCCCACGATATGAAAGACCCGCTCGCCTATGGGCAGTTTAGGCGCGGTGCTATTCACATCTTTATCCAGAGACACTTTGTTTTTGCATAGACACCAGAATAAAGGTTCATTTATTTCCTCACCACAGTCGGTGTGGTGAGCGGATCGATTTTTTTGCTTTTATCTTTTCGCAGAAGTACCTAAAAATATTCATTTACGTAAAAAGAAAACAGCAACAACAACAACAATTATCTCAATATTTGTATTTCCGGAATACTTTTTGGAGTAGCCAGCCCTGTTTCATATTCATGAAGTGTGTGCGCAACGAAGTACGTTGATTTCCTCGTGCTCGGACCGTTCTATTTTTGGAAAGGGCCGGGGTTCGTCCTGGGTCGTCGTTCATGAATGGTTCAGTGCACACGGTGGCAAAATGTCACCTGCGCTCTCCGTATCGCCAAGGTCATCCTGCCACTTCCTGCGCCAGCTTTGCCACGTGTCCTATATATGGCACGTGTAACTTGCTCTCAAACCACCGTGTCTCAAACACACCGGCAAACAAACAAAAAAACGGATGAATGCAACACGTATAGGGAAGGCTATATCGGGAATACACACACCATTGTGCTAGCAGAAGTAATTCGTGTAGTATCGTTCACCCACGGAGTGACTATTTGTAGTTCGGCACGCACTGGCACACTGGACACGGAACGCTGCCAAAGCTTCCGGCGCGTGGGCATCGTGACTTCACCTGGCGAGCGACCAAGCCATGCGCTAGCTTTGGCAGCGTTTGTACACTTTGTACATCGCACTTGAGGCGTATTGTTTTTGCTTTTTCCAGGATGTCTCCCCCCCCCCCCCCCCCTCCAAAAAAAGAAAAACCTTTTTTTTTTTTTACATTAAAAATAAACTACGCATCGCCGAATGCCCATTTCCGTCCAAATGTGTAGTTTTAGCCGTCCGAACTAGATGCGAAAGTTTCATAAATATAACCGTTATCTTATTCAAAAGTCATAAGTTATTTTCTTAAAACTTTAATATGACAATAGTTGCCATATTGCCATTGACCGATCTCACTGAGCGTTCCGCGCATGCGCGACATGCGTGGCGCCGCCATAACTGTATCGTTTTATAGCAGGCAGGCGCCAGTTCACGAGGCAGCTCGTGCCGCTTCGTGCTCTGCTCGTGCAGACGCTCAGCGGGAGCTTATCGCTCGTGCATAAAGACTATGCGAAGAGCATATCAGTCGTCTGCTTCTTTTACAAGGGTTGTGGTGACGTTAGAAACACGCCGAGCTCTGATTGGCTCCGAGTGGAAGGATAGTGGGTAGACCTCAATGCTAGCTGCCTTGAGGTTTATCTGCTGTCCTTCCAATCGGAGCCAATAAGAACTCGGCGTTCCCTGACGTCACCGCAACCTCTGCGCTAGAAGCAGGCGAACTTGCGCTCCGTATAGTTCCCACGACGTATGACGGCAGTGGTGGCGTTATGAAACTGCACTGCGAGATCAGTCTATCGAAAATTTCCAAAAATCACTTATAACTTTTGAAGAAGATCACGGGCAGTTTTCAAACTTTGCCATCTGGTTCGTACCGCTAGCGCTACATTTGGACCGAGAATGGGTGTTCGGCGACGCGTACTTTATTTTTTGCGGTAAAAAAAACAGCAACAAAAAAACTAACTTTGTTTTGGGACACTCTTGACAGCATACGCAACCACAGTGTCGGTCGTGCAACGATATTCGCTTGAAATCTTTTCCACTTGGCATGAGCTTACTGACATTAGGGAGTTTTAGAATAACGTACGCAATATAGGCGCACGCTAGCGCTAAATTTAGCGCTTGTATTAGCGCACGCGACGCGAGAGAGTTTTAGAATAGCGTTTCTCCGTCGCGACGCAAAAGCCCAAGCATATCGCGCTTGCGACGCCACCAAGATACAGTCACAATTTTTATTTCACACACGAAATGCTGTAACTTAAGAAAAAAAAGTTTTTGGTCCAGAGTATTATTTTAGATTTGTTTAAACGTGAGAATGCGAAGCGAGCGGTTGACCGGTCGTGTCCGCTTGCGTCGCCTCGGCAAGAGAGGTCTCGTGTACTGACCTTCGCACATCGTACCTTCGCCGAGAAATGTTCGCGCGTCACAAGCATCAAGCTGTCGGTGATCGTTGGCAAACCGAGTACAATGTCGTCCCGTATTGAAAATCGCAGTCGCGAGGATGCCGCCGACGTCGCACTCACGACGTCGCCAAAGCAGCCGCTGACATAATCCTGGAAGCCGCCATTTTTTTTTTTCAACTCTGCTCGTCTTCGCTTTAGCCAACTTCTCATCACGAATCCTCCTTGGAGAAGCGCAAAGACTCTTTGCGTACGCACGCTATTTCCGAGAAATAGCGCACGCTAAAATTGCGCACGCAAAGCGCAAAATCTGGTTTGCGTTCGGAGCATGCGCAGTGGCGACGACGCTATTCTTTGCGCACGCAAAGCTTTAGCGTGCGCTATTCTAAAACTCCCTATTAATGGGACCCAAGTATACTCGACGCAATGTCAGCGACCAAATAACTCCTTCGTTGCGGTGTAAATCCAAGGACAAGAGCGACCGTTTTCCTTCAATCTCTCCTTCGCAAAGTTTGGTGACGTAGCTAGAAAGTCGCAGTCCCCCCCCCCCCCCCCCCCCCCCTTTAGTGACGATATATGAATGCAGCTTATAGATTGGACCCGAGCATTGCGTGAGCACTCGATTTGGGCTCGTAATAATGCTCGACGAGCATTCGGGTAGTGGCTCGTGTCCAATCGGGTCAATGACGACGATAGCCGAACCGTAACAATGCCTGGAACTCAGCGCGTGCCCTGTGCTTTGACAATTAACCCCCAGCGCGTGGGTGACCATCACAATTGGAGGCTTATTATCGACTCCAGATCACGTGGCGGCTTGTTCTAGCTGCGAGTTGAGGGAGTATTATACGCTGCTCGTTTTTCGTTAATTTTGTTTACCGGCGACTTCGATTGCGTGTGGTGAGAAACGAACGCGCATGGCATGGGTCATTAAAACGTCAGGGATTCGTCCGAGGCGTTATTTTGTGCAAAGTACAAAAATCGTTGAATCGCCCCTTTAAGAAACTTTCGGACGGGGCCAGCTCACGTGACACCTTGCCTTCGCTTTGCACGCGCCGAGATTCTCGCATTAGCCGCTAAGAACGACAAAGAATGAATTTAAGAAGATTGAGAATACTAAGCCACACCTTGTGTTTCCTAATGAAGCTCTCAGTGGCCATGGAGTGCAAGTTCGTCCGCTTCTTGCACAGGGGTTGCGATGTCGTCAGAACGCCAAACTCTTATTGGCCGATCGAAAAATAAAAATAGTAGGTAGACCTTAAAGGAGCTGTGCAACGATAATCAATTGGAATGTTTTTCTTTCTACACGAGCTTACTGGCACACCTGGGACTCAAGGATACTCACACGCAACGCCACTGGCCAAGAAACTCCTTTGTTGCGGTGTAATTTCAAGGACAAAAGGGATCATTTTCATTCAATCTCTCCTTTGCGAAATTTGATGACGTAACTCGGGGATCGCAGTACACCCAAGTGACGATATTTGAATGCGGTTCATAGATTGGACCCGAGCATTGCGTGGGCACTCGACTTGGGCTCGTGACAATTGCTAGCTCGAGAAGCATTCGGGTAGTGACCCGTGTCCAATCGCTGCAACGACGACAACAGCCGAGCCATAACAATGTCTGGAACTCAGCGCGTGTCCTGCGCTTTGCCAACCCCAGCGCGTGGCTATGATCAACACCGGCGGCATATAATCGGCTCCAGATCACGTGGCCGCTTGTTCTGGCTGCGAGTTGAGGGGGTGAACGCTGCTCGTTTTTCTTAAATTTTTTTCTGGGACTTCTATTGCGTGGGGTGAAAAACGAACGCGTGTTTCATAGGTTATTAACGTTAGGGATCGGTTTTAAGCGGTATTTGCGCAAAGTACAAAAAATGTTGCATCGCTCCTTTAAAGCATTTAGCATTGAGGTCTGCCCACTATTCTTTCGATCGGAGCCAATCGGAGCCCGGAGTCGTTTGACCTCGCCGCAGCTCCTGCGCAAAAAGCAGACGAACTTGCTCTCCGCTTCCGCATACAGTCCATGACAGTTTAACAAACCCCCGCAGTGCGTGGCTTCTTACGCTCACGCTTCGTGATTCGTGCTTAGGGAGCTCTTATCGACAAATGCCGAAATCTTATTGGCCGAGCAGAGATAAGGATATGTTCGGGGCGCATCTTGTCCAGCGTTAGCTCTCAGTGACCGCGTGTGCTTGTATAGACCTTTTCCGCAAGGGCGCCGCCATCTTGAAATGTCGTCACTTCCAGTATGGGCGAAAACATTGTTTTGCCGTTGCCACGCCAATAGAAGGCATTTAGGACATAAAGGTAACCGTCACACATTCTCGTTTTGCCTCCACTTTATTTTTTTACCATTTGCAGGTTGAAACGTTCTGATATTTTTTCGTCGCCCATACCGGATATGCCTCCTTGGCGGTCGGGGGCGAGAGTAAGCGGAAAAGGTCTATATATTATAAGGTATTCGTGATATGCATGGTCACACGTGACAGACAACTTAGCAGCCGCAGCGCGTTATAAACAAGTACAAAATTAAAGGACACGTAGAAAGACAACCACAGCGCTGACTAAACACTCACGTTCCTTCTACTTTTTTGTAAAAAGCAAAATCACAGTAAAAAAGATGGATATTTTTGTTTGTTACACATAGTTATTTTGCAGATAGAGAAACGGAAGGGGGTTTGTTGTCAAGTCGCGCGATCTTCTCGGCTGCAATAATTTCTCTAATTGTAGAGGGTCGCCAATTATTGTTGCGTTGTCTTTCTATATGTGTCCTCTCCTTTTCCTCGTTGTTTGTGACGCACTCTTATCACCAAACGCGCCCAAGCTTCCGTCTTAACGAGAGACAACTCTTTTGTGGCCGATCAAACTGCGTCACCCGAGGCCTGCTATAGGATAGTATCTAACTAAAATGATTAGTGACGCAAATCTATACTTGTCTTCACATTAAAAAAAAAAAGTTTTGCGATTTTTTCATACGCGGCGCGAAGTAGCTCTTACGGGATTTGGTTATTGGAGGAAAAAGGGGTGATTTTGGCGTTTGGAACGTGTACGTCTTAATGAGAGAACATATATCTAATCTACAAATCACCCTACATATATCTTAATTCTCTACATAAAGGGGAAATCAGTATTGCTCTGCGGGAAGCCGGACTTTTTTTTTTTTTTTTTTTTTACTATTGTTCTTGAGGTGAAAACGGGTCTAGCTGCTCGCTGTTCGAACGCCGGACGAGTTCGGCTTATCCTCTACCCATTACTAATTCCAATCGGATCTCGGTGTTCTGCCGTTTCCTCCTCTCCTCCAGTTTTTTAACCGTATTTAAGCGGGGAAGGCTTTTCAACGGAAACAGCTGTTGTTCGTCCGTCTGTCTCTTTCCCCGCCAAATATAGCAGGGAAATAAATAGTAATCTTCACTTAAAAAAAAAAAAAAGTTCTATAATGTTTTTAAAAAAATTAAAAGATCGCTTCTTATATACTGAATTCCGCGCATTGTTTATAGGACAGACCTGTGCACTTTACTGAAGCGACTAAATATCGTCGCTCGTTACCCGCTGAGAAAATTAAATAAGTACGTTACTCGTTAATAATGTTTAAAAATAAACGCGTTACGTCGGTTGAGACGAAACCAGTTACTTTTTCGTAACACTGCATGTTTCTTTTTTTTTAAGCAGTAGTTGCTTTTTATTATTTTTGGTCGTTTGTAGTGCCTAGCTTTTTGACGCAGTCGTGGACATTTCTTTTTTCTTTTTTTGCCGCGTTTTTTGGCCGTAAAAGTTACATACGTGAGCTGGGGTAAAAACCAAATAGGGTAACCTTTGTTGCACGCGTTCCTCTCCAGAAGTAATTAAATACCGTCACTCGTTACTCCAACAAAAAGTAACGGAAATACTTTACTGGTTCCTTGTCTCGAAAAGTAGTAACTAAATCGTTACAAGGAAACACCAAAATGTTTTGTTTTTATTTAAGGAAAAAAATGAAATACGTTTACAACTTCCTGTAACGCCGATTTAGAGCGCAGCTCTTCAGAAGGAGGAAGGGAGGGTATGCCCCTCCTCCTCATCCGTACCCTCTTCTCCTCCCCTTCCCCGATTCTTTCACGCGCAAAACGCACGTCGTCACGCGACGTTTCAACACCGTGCCGAAACGTCCTCATGGTGCAATATGGGAAACGCCCCATAATGCACCAAGGTGACGTTTCGGCACCATGCCCAAACGTCACCACGGTGCATTGTGGGACGTTTCCTATAATGCACCGCGCGGTTACGCCGACGGCGACGCCGCTCATGCCGGAAACAAGCGCCTAAGAGCTGCGCTCTAAAAAGGAAGTTTTGCGGATTGTTCATACGCCACGCAAAGTAGTCCTTACAAGATTTGGTTGTTTGAGAAAGAAGCGAAGGATATCGGTTGCCGAGTGGGCTAGTGCACACCGGCTCGGACCACGTGCGGCGAAAGTTCGCGCTGTAGAACCCAGAGATCCCAGGGTTGAATCCCCACCCCTTCACGTTTCGATCTGGATGAGTATCGTACAGGCGTGCGGTCGTGTATCACTACTGCGCGATGCACGTTAAAGACCCCAGGTTAGCGGTTGTACCGCACTGGCTAAATTTCTCATCTACAGCTGAGACGCCAGACGCGCCCATAGAGCCTGATCAACTTCCGGCTATAACAACATTATTACTAGGAAGAAGCGATGCTTTTAGCGCTATACAAGCGTGTACGCCTTGATAAGATGACACGTATCTAATCTAATGCAGCTACATTTATGTTAACTCTCTAGATAAAAGGGGAAATAACTATTGCCCCGCGAAAAATCACGTCTTTTTGTTGTTGTTTTTTCTTGGCTTTTCTTTTTTTTTTTTTACTGGGGTTTTTGAGGTGAAAACGAATATAGATAAAACTAGAGCGTTACTTGTAACCCATTATAAAAATCGCTGGAATTCTTTTTTTCTTTCTTATTTATTTTTTAAGTGTTTGACGGCGTTCTAGGGATTCGAATACGCTCTATCAGTTATGCTGTCCGTACCCTACTGTCAAGCTGAAAAAAAAACAAAAAACGTCGTACAATAATAGGCGTTCTTTTTGCTGTTTCTTTTCCGCAGGAGAGAGCAATGCGAAGACGGCGTTCGGCGCCAGCGTCCCTTCGTCAGCGCAGCCGGAGGACCGAGGCGTAGCAAAACAACGCATTATGGTTCTGCCGCACGTCGCTTCAGCGCCGGCCGCACATCGGTAAGCTTCTGCGGCGGGGGTCATTTCCTCCTCGGTCGCATTACGCAGGCGGATCACACGCGCGAAGACCTACCTCTTGCCCAAACCGCGCGCGTGGCGTCTGCGCACGTGTTGGGACGGTGCACTTCGACAGATGGCGCTGAAAAGAAAGAAAAAGAGGCTACACGAAGGAGCCCACCGGCTTGAACACGATTCGTACGTGACCCCCCAGCTACGTACATCATAATCATCATCAAGAGGGAAGCCACGGGCACGGTGGACGAAACATTTAGGTGATGACTCTCTGACTGACACGGCGACCACATTATATTCCGGGCACCGAGCGCGCTTCATTCGCACGGGGATAGATGGCGCTCAAGTATGGGGTCCGTCCCAAACCGACCGCTCCGGTTGTTTCTCCCAGTGGTGGTCCCGCATTCCCTCGCTCACCGCTTCTTGTTGTACCTCTCCGCCGCCACGCCGCCGCCAAGTCGCCAGCAAGTCGCCAGAGACCGTAAATCTGTGTTTTCTTCCTTCTTCTTCTTCGGGTTAAGGCTTACCTTTGTGCACGATGGTGGCACCTGGGATCGACACAGCACCAAAGCAAAACACGAGGCCAACCACGGGCCGCACACCATGCACCACCTCACTACCACACCGCGACAAAGGCGAGCACGCTACGCCGCCGATACCGTGGCCACCGAGGATGGTTGGTTGGACAAACTTTATTTAGATGGGGTATGCGTCATTGAGCCTCGTGGTTGGGTCCCCTAGTCCAGGGCCCCACACGCCTGAGCACCTCACAACGTAGCGTCCTCCACGGCGGTGTGGAACTAACTACTCCTGGTTCGAGGCTAGTTTCGAACACGATCTGGTCGCTCGCTCCCCGCCGGAAGAGCGGCCAGAGTCATCACCTAAATGTGTTTCTTCCTCCGGGCCACGGATTAGGTGTTGCTGAAGTCATTGGGCACGTTAAGTCCGTGCTCCGTAGCGCGAGAGTTTGGCCAGTGCTCCTTTCACTAAACGGACAGGAGTGCCATCGGAGCAGGCACCGGAGAGACTGACACTCGAGCACGCTCTGCGTGCACCCAGAATTTCTCGGCGCGCGAGTGACTGCTTCGCGTTCCGTGGCTTCACGTAAACAAACAAGATGGCTGCGCTGCTGTTGAGACCGTCGAGACAAAAGGCGTAGACGGACCGCTGCCTTTTTTCAGTTGATTAGTGCTTAATCCAGCAGGTAAAAACGATTTGATTTGAAAGCCAAGACAGCAATTAGCGTTCCGAAAAAGGTTTGTTCGTGCATCCCGCCTGAAAAAGAAATTCATCTATGAAACGGTAGCGTGCCGATAGCACAGCGACAGAAAAGTTGTCCAGGTGAGGAGACATTCGGACCGCTCTGTCCCTTTTATAATGCTTAGCCCAGCAAATAAAAATACTTTGATTTGAAAGCCGGAACATTAGTGAGCGTTGAGGAAACATTAGTGAGCGTTGAGGAAAAGGTTTGTTCGTGCGTCTTGCCTGAAAACGAATCGAGCGTGCTGATAGCTCGGCGACAGAAAAGTTTTGATGAAAAGACAGTCAGTCCGCTGCCCTGCAGGTTAGAATGCTTAGCTCAGCCGCAGTGAATAAAGATACTTCGATTGAAAAGCCGAAACACCAGTTACCGTTACGGGAAAGGTTTGTTCATGCATACCGCCAATGCTTAGCCCAGCGAATAAAAATACTTTGATTTGAAAGCCGTAACATCAGTGAGCGTTGAGGAAAAGGTTTGGTCGTGCGTCTTGCCTGAAAACGAATTGATCTATGGAACGAGCGTGCCGATAGCTCGGCGACGGGAAAGTTTTGATGAAAAGACGCTGCCCTGCTTAGAATGCTTAGCCCAGCCGCAGCGAATAAAGATACTTGGATTGGAAAGCCGAAACACCAGTTAGCTTTACGGGAAAGGTTTAATATTTGTTCATGCATACCGCCTAAAAACGAATTGACGTGCTATCGAACCACGGTGTGCCGGTATCCGCGTAGCTTCCGTCTCGCCGAGAGACGGAACCGACGGAATCAGGGAATCTCTGACAAATTTGGAGGTTACCTGCGTCGACGAGCGGGTTCAAGAATGTTGTCTTCAATTTAAATCGAAACAGCATGCATGGTCAATAAATAGATCGGCCAAGGTAACCTCCCACCTATGTGCACGAAGCGAGTCTTCAGACTTTTCTGGACTATTAAAACGTTCGTAGAAACTTCATAACGTCGCCGTTTCTTTTGCTTTAGACTCTGCCGCTCCACACGGGCCTAATTATTTATCTTCGAAATATTTTCGGCTTGTGCCACCCGTATCCACGGTCGGAAGGAGCTCGTATGGCCCGTCGATAGTTTCTGGCCGTATTCCAAAACTTACTCGATCTCTCTAGGGTAAAGGTGGTTATCGAAAACCTACTCGCGTCAAGCGTTTCTCGATTTTTGTTGTCACGTGACATAATCCGCCAGGGTAACTCGGGATCATACGAGTAGGTTTGGAACGCAGCCTCGGTGTGTCGCGCTCCTGTATACACTATATGCGTCGTTTAGTTGCTGCGCTCGGAGTATGAAACTCGGAGCGTCAGAGAAGGTGTAAAGGAGCGCCGACTTCACGCGCCCATTGGATCCTGGGAAAGTAACCTTAAGCCTGGTTGCCATTTTGGCTCGTGGAATGAGCAGCCTCTCCTTGATCTCTCTCCATTTTTGGTGATCCGATTTGAATTCGTGGTGGCAGGTCGCTTCATACGGGCATGTCTTGTATACCGAGATTTTGTTATCCACACACCGACGAAACAAGCAGCGCGCATGTCCGCCCCGCTGCCGCATGTGGCGTTGGTGCTTGGTGGCATTTAAATATTCTAAGCTTAAATTGTAAAACAAAATGGCTAGGTGGCGTAAGCTACCGCCCAATATAAAGGGCTCAGCCGGATTCATCCATCCATTCAGAAATAATTTCCTTGTCTCGAAATATGCGAGAAGAACAATGTGATTGTAAGAAATCTGTAAAGATAAGCTTGTTTAATAAGTAAATTCAAGAGTAACTGAGTCCTGGGACAGTAGTGCCAGGCTCCCAGAGTTGTCACCATTTTGGTTCGTGGAATAAGCAATTTCTCCTACATTTTTTTTTTTTTTTCATTCTTTGTGAGCCGATTTGAATTCGCTGGTGACGGGTAGCTTTATGGAGACGTTTCTTGAACACCGGGGTGTTGTTATCCAACACCGGCGAAGCAAGCGCACTTCTTCGCACCGGCACCACATGCGGCCCCGGTGCTTGGCGGCATTGAAAAATAATTTTATTGTTTTTATTTACTCAAGAGCAACGATACCAATCTAAGAGATATGCGGAAATAAGCACGATTGATAAGCAGATTGCATGCCGAGCCCCAATGACGCTTATATTGGCGTGGAACGCTTTTAGTTCTTGACTTGACAAACCAAGTCAAGTTTATTTAGGGAGTGCTAAGTAGTATTTAGCGAAAGTATAAAAATCGTTCCATGGCTCCTTTGAGCTGAGAATGTAGCCAAAGGTATACAAGCCCAAGCTAGCCCGCGGGCTCCTGGCTTTGAGAGGTGGATTTCTAGCTTGTGTGCTCGGTGATCTGCGAGAGAACGTATGAAAGCAGCGAACGCCGGCGAGAAGGTCTCTTCCTCCTCATTGTTCGCTCTTCTACAATGGAAAGAGGTGGGAGGAGCTTCCCCTGAATTCTTAACCTGTCACCGACCATGGTCGGAAGAAAGCTACAACAGCCGCAGAAGCTGAAGCTGCCTCACGAGAAAGAAATTCCATTCTCCGTCTAATGCTCCTTTTCTTTATCTCTCTCTGACGGTTCGGCTTGTCTTCGGTCGGAGAGTCGTCGCTTTTTCTTTTCTTCTTTTGATGCGAGGTCTAACGGTTTTTGCGGTATTTGTTTCCCAACGCCCCTCGCAGACGCTTCTATTGTTACTCTGTAAAGGTCAGCAAACATGTCTGGAAGAGTGATGCTTCGAGGGGGCTTCAATCTCCGTGCTTCCTTCCGTCTGGCCCCTTTTATACCTAGGCCCTAGAACTTCCAGTTTTAATCTAAAAAAAAAACAAAAAAAACACCGATAAACGTCTGTTGGTGTCAAAAATACAAAATCTGTCCGCTTTTATCGAAAAACCAGAAAACAAAAAATACCCATGAACTACCGTTGGTGTTAAAAATACGAAACCGTCTAAAACCGGAAAAACAAAACCGATTTCTGAACAATTTTGTTCCAGCTAGGACTGTTTACTCCAGCTAGGTCTCTTAGTTTCTCATTATAGTTTTTTTTTTCTTCTTTATTTTTTCATATAAAATTACGGTTTTTAACGCCCATTGATTTTTTTTTTTTTAATTTTTTATAAACATTGGAAAGTATAGACCTTTGCAGAAATCCCCTCCTGCGCGCTGCCATCTTTGTCTGCTGGGCTGTGGAACGCCTTCCAAGCATGCGCTGTTGATCTGCTCTGCGGTATATCGGACGCTGCGCATGCGTCCACAGCTCAGTGACTCAGCATTTTTTGCCCGCTCGCTTCGTTCGAGACTGCCGCTTGAAAGGTCTATACATCCGAATTATATCTCTATCCGGTTTGTAGGCCCCATCGGATTACGTTTGTACAAGAACGCATAAGTGTACTCTATCTATGGTGGTACTGAATGAAAGACAAAAGTAATTTGCTTCTGTTACATGTTACAAAATAACTCCGTGATTACGTGAGACAATAAATGAGAGCCTACTGCTCTAAAATATTTTACACCTTTTCAGGTGTTACAAGAGTGCCGTTTATTTTTAGGGGAGCGAATGATGTATATACCCACTGCGTGGTGCCACACCTACGCATTTATTTGTTTTGCTGAATTTTTCACTTAGAAGGCGCTCCGACCGTCTTGCACCCGCCGTTACACTCTTTTAACACTCCTATGTTTGCGTTATACACGCTTTAAAATTTTCAAAGGACCCCTAAAATATTTATTTTTCGGTTTCATGGCGTCATTACTCTGCAG